ATCACCTTAATGGATGCTTATACATCTACCTTTGGTGGCTTTACACTTTGCAAAATATCTTCCTTCATAGGTATTCTACATTGCATAAGCAGTGACAGGGGTTAAAAACAAACAAACAAACAAAAATAAACACAGTGTTTGCCTTCCCTTGATTCTTGAAACTTCAAAATTTCTAAGTTTGTGTAATATTTAATGACATAGCCTCAAAATATATAAAACAAAAATTGACATATGGAAGAAGTTGACAAACCCACAACGATGGTTCAAGATTCTTAAGTCTTCCCTTCTAGCTTAGTCTCCAGGGCCAAAGTGAGCACAAATGTCTCCTACATATAACAGGCTTCACAAATGTCACTTCAATACCTGTGGATAAGCTGAGAATTGAGTCCCAAACCGTGACCTGGATTCTTTCATACATAACCATTACTTACCTCTGCCTCCTTCATTTCTCTGCTACCTTGGTGGCTTAAATGATAAGAGGGAAGGGGCTGATCTCTGCCAAATGTGAGAGAGAATAAAAAATTCTATTTTCATACCTATTGAAAAATTATTTTAAATTAAGCATTCAATCGCAGCTGACCACACCAGACTTTGACTAGTTCTACATAACCAGTTATTCATGTCGCCCACAGGTCAGGTTACGTTTTTATTCTTTCCAAGTGCTATTATGAATATTGTGTCCACTCACCTCTCCAGACAACTCTGAGGTAGGCAGGGTGGGGGCTATTAGAGGAAACATCTTGGAGGGAGTAAATGACTCGCCTGGGTTCCCAGAGCCAATCTGTACATAGTGGGGGCTGTAGAGTGTTGCTCATTATGCCACATTGAAAGTGACTGTTATATTCCTGGGTAAACGTGTACACTTAACATCCCGTTCATGTGTCAGAGTTCACATTCTCTTCCAGAAGCTACAGCTGACAAAATATGTCAGCCTTGACAAGGATGTTCCAAAAGGTTTGCTGTTCCCTTCACTTCGGTGTCACTGATAAGTCAGGAAAATCTTCAGGTTTTCCCCAAACCTCAAAAGGCTGGGCTTAGCACACAACGATGACATGGAGTCCATTGGTCTTGATCTTTTCCATCTCCAACACACATGCACACGCACACACACACACCCTCCGGATAGCCGACAAAAAGATAATAGTAACCAGAAGCAGAGCTTATAAATTTCCATTATGCTTAATGTCTGATTACACATAGTTAAGGAATTCATTCATTAGAGTAATTCGTGTAAGTCCCCAAGGGCCTGCTAAGGCCGCTGCCTAAGTTTTATCAGGTCATAGGCTTCCTTTATTCTCATCCTTTAACAAATACTGGATTGGCAAGGAACTTTGGACCAACCTCTGCTTAAAATATCAGTAAATTATAATAAAGCAAAATTGGGGGGCTTTCATGCTTTGGGGGTTTCCTTCAGCAGAAAAAAAAAGGACTTTATTTTTTAAGCTTTATTTGATTCATAAATGCTGCTTCCAGAGTCTATCAACTTCACATCGACTCGAGACTTATTTTCGGGAGTCAGCATGTCCCCTAGGTCCCCTTCAGGTTTCCAAGTGTGGATCTGCACTGAAGGATGAGAACCACTGGAAGTCAGTACGTTCACCCTATCAGTGATGCTCTTCCTGAGTGGGGCGGGGGAGCAGGCAGAGAGCAGAGGTGGCCCTGTAAGCAGGAGGGAGGGTGTGCCTGCTGGCCTCTCGCAGAGGCTGTTTACTTGGGGAGAGCTCTGCAGTGACAAAGTCCAGCCTGCATGGCTTATCCGCACAGGTGACTGTGCACATTAGTACAATCCTAGGCCAGAGCTGGTGCCTCCAACTTCGGCCGGCCTTCTGGTGCATCTCTTCCCTTGTGTCCCAATGGGATGGAAGCAAGAATGCAAATGGATAGAGCCAAATCCATACCTAACACTTAGAAAACGTCTTAATGGAGACTCTCCACCTGTGCTGGATCTAGAAGGTAGGCTGTCCTTAACATGCACAATCAGGGGCGCAGGGGGACCTCCATTTGAGAAAACCCAGAGACAATGATAAACGAAATTCTCCCCAACTAAGACTGATGATACAAATGGATAGTTATGCAGTTAAATGGCCACTACCGGTGTATAATTATTAACTCCTGAACTAAAAAATTAAGTACATAACTTAGTAAGTGCCTGCAAAAAAAATCGTTAAAACAAAAAATATTATCTCTTAAGTTGTATCTTAAGGAAGGGGGATCTAGTCATTGTTGTATGCTAATGGACAGGCGACGGGTGAAGAGGTCCATGGTTGGAGAATTAAATTGCTTTATATCTGAAGGGATCCAGAAACGAGTGGGGTGAGAGGTGGAATGGGGGGCTGGGTGGAAAAAGGGCTGAGTAGAGAGACAGAATGAGAGAAAAACAGAGGCGGGCACAAAGACTTACAGGCTTGTGGATGAACTGAGAAGGGTTTGGAAGAAGGAGTGAGGGTTCTGGGAAGGAAATGCAATGTGCTGTGCAAGGTAAACTCTGTAGCCTTCCCTGAGAAATAGATGTAAATAAAATTAATTTTCTATCTGTTATGTCACGTGAGAAGAGCTAGACAGAGTTTTACCATACGAGAAAGGGGTGTTTGAGATGGTCTGACTTTAAATATATTTTACACGGTGTATGCAATATTCTCTTTGAGGGTCCGCGGAGGGACTTCAAACTATAGCAAAATCTGGGGACAGTGACTGGCCTGTGTGGCTGTAGACTAGAGAAATATACCAGAAACATTAAAATGCCTAGAGGCTTCCAACATGAACCCTAATCCCAAAGTCACCAGGACAAATTATCCAAACTGTCACCTTCATTTGTGGTGGAATTAATGTCTATGGAGCAGCTACATCAGGCTGCTCCAGGGATGGGTGGGTGGGTGGATGGTTGGTGTGGCGAGGCAGGAGGCTGGCTGGCCTTCACCGACATTCGCAGGGCTCCTTAACACCTGGTGACGTGCATTCTCCAGGGAGATGAGGAGATGCCTGCAGTCCCACTACCACGTAGGCACGGGGGCAAAAGCTGAGGCTGGTGGTGGTAATAGCCAATGCGTGGGTCACAAATGACTAACTTAATGAATGACGAGCTCACGGAGGCAGATGCATGTGCTATGCAATGGGTTAAAACTCCACTTCTGATAATCGAATACTCCCCCTTATCTGTGGGGGATGTGTTCCAAGACCCCCAGTGGACGTCTAAAACCCCCGATAGCACTGAACCCTATATATACTATGTTTTGCCTATACGTACATACCTGTGATAAAGTTGAATTTATAAATTAGGCACAGTAAGAGATTAACAATAACTAATAATAAAATAAAACAATTATAATAATATACTGTAATAAAAGTTCTGTGAATGGCTTTGGATCTATTATTAAGTAAAACAAGAGTTCCTTGAAGACAAGCACTGTGATACCGTGACGGTCGATCTGATAACCGAGACGGCTACTAAGTAACTAGTGGGCGGGGAGCGAATATGGCCTAAATACACTGGACAAAGGAATGATTCAGGTCCCAGGCAGGACAGAGTGGGACAGCCACTCTGTCCCACGACTCAGAACGGTGCACAATTGATAACTTATGAATTGTTTTTTGGAATTTTCTGTTTAATATATTTGAACTGCAGTTGTCCCTGGGTCACAAGCCAGGCATAATGGGGGACCCCCGTAGCACTGCAGTGTCAGTGAGGTCACTTAACTGCTTCCTGGTGATTAAGGGCTAGTTAGGGCTTTGTTTCAAGAGCTCTCTCTTGAGGCTCAGCTCTACCACTCACTAGCTGTTGACCTTGGACAGGCCATGGAACATCTCTAAGATTTGGTTTCATTTTATAAAAAATGGGGAAAATACTGGTGTCTGTCTCAAGGAGTTATGGCGAGGATTACATGAGTTAACTCGTAGCCCAAAATATGTTAACCACACGGATGCTCATTATTATTATAAGGCCACTTGGTGACCGATGTGTGCAGTCAGCATGTACTCACCCTCGGGAAGGTCCCATGTTAGGGTCCTGGTCTCTTCGCCTCCATCACGTACTGTCCTTGTCGTCACCAGCACGCCGTTCTCCTAAACTGTGGGGACAAGCAGGTGTTTTAAAATCCTCAAGTTTATTGGTTTTGTTTTGAATCTTTAGAGATATAATTAGTACATTTTTACCTTAATACATTATTAATTTGCATATAGTGGGTATATACAACATTAGAGGATTATAATACGCCATATGGCGGTTTCGGTGTCATAGTAAGTATGTCTCGTTAGAAAATAATTACGATGAATCCAGCTTTTGTACTGGGGACACTTTCTCTGTATAATACGAGAATGTGTGGATTGCTGTGGAAACAGGCAATAACTGGCATATTCTTCATAATGATCTGTCTCAAAAAATTTCTCTTGGTACAGCATTTGCCCTTTAAAACCCCCACGTAACACCCCCACGCACCTGGCTTCCCAGTTCTGGTTCTGTTCCCTCTAGCAAGCCCAGAATTTTCCTTTACACATTAACCCTTGGCTGTCTCTATTTATGCCTTTTCCTCTAGGTCTCGAATGCCCGGGCTCTGTGTGCTATCTCTGCACCTGGGCCTGGCAGTACCTCGTCAAAACAGAGGGAGGGCGGAGGGCGAAACCTCAGTGCTGGCCTCTCGGCTTTTGTGGGTTTCGGCCAGACCTGGGGCGTTATTTTAGTGCAACTTTGGTGTTTAATTTGAGGATGTGTGTGGATCAGAAGGAGGGACCGATCCATTTTTTTTTTTTCTCCCCCTTGGCCAAATGATTAAATTTAAAGTTCTAAAAAACTCACAGCTCGATCCAAAGCTGTGTCCAATTGGGAAGTGAGAAGTGCCCTGACAATCCCTCTCAGGCTAGGGCCCATGACTGTGGGCATCACCTGGGCAGTCTGTGGTTCCCAGCCAAACAGAGCCCTGTGCCTTAAGGCTCTCCTTCCCTCCCTGAGAGTGTACATTGCCTCTTTGCTGGAAGAACATTCTACAGGTTTGTTTAACCTCTTACAGCCTTGAAAGCACCATAATCAGCCGCTGCTGAGCCATGGCCGAGGGGGAAGTCACGACGTTCACGGCCCTGACTGAGAGGTTTAACCTGCCTCCAGGGAATTACAAGAAGCCTAAACTTCTCTACTGCAGCAACGGGGGCCACTTCCTGAGGATCCTCCCAGATGGCACAGTGGATGGGACAAGGGACAAGAGCGACCAGCACAGTAAGCACCCATGTCTCTTGTAGCCCCTCGCCTTTCTGGTGTCTTCCTTAGTCAAGGAGGGGAGAAGGGATGTAATCAAAGCACTGGGAGCCTCTTCTTCAGGGTTCTGTTCAAGCATGACACTCACGGGCAGGGCAATGTAAACGTGGAACGGGTCTGAGTATGGAAAATAGAGAGTCGTGAGGGCCACAGCCTGCCTAAAAGGGACTCGCGACTTACACAGCTGCTGTGAGAGCAGATGTGGCTGCCAGTGTTTGGTTGTTCCTGATTTCTGCAACTAGTGGAAAGTCTGGTTTGAGAGCAGATGTGGCTGCCAGTGTTCAGTTGTTCCTTTGTTCCTGATTTCTGCAACTAGTGGAAAGTCTGGTCAGGGCCCTGTTTGCTCCATGATGGGAAGAGCCATATGGCAGGGACAGTAAATCTTGCACAAAGACGTGGGCTCAGGTTCAAGGTAAATGACTCTCCAGGTTACATTTCCGCTGGGCTTGATTTGTGAAATCCTAGTTCACAATCATAGTCCTACACATCATAAACTATGCAGCTTTCACTCTGCATATCAGGCAGACATGATTATGGTGATCTGAGGGGTCAAGTCATTCTCCAGACCTTAGAGAAACTGGAGAGCAGGAGCAATTTGAGCCAAAAGGTGAGCATCTCTTCTGGGCTTTCCTGCCAGCCCAGCTCTCAGATGGTGTTGATAAATGGAGGTATAACTTTGGAAAAAAATAATCTTCTTGACTCTCTAGGAATAAAAACGTCTTCTTTCTGCTTTAGTACTTCTGGTGTTGGTGTATGTTGATATTAGGTGCCTGGGTCCTACCGTGGTATTATTAGGAATCCCCTGAGTTACCACCGAGTCATTAGATGTTGTAGAGAAGGCGAGGTCAGATCTGGTCCCTATTAAGAGGGTCTAAAGGGTCAAACATCGCAAATCAAGAGAAGGAAAATGTGGATAAAATCAGGAGATGCAGAAAAGCACTGATAGAAAGTAAAGTTCTGTATGATGACTTTAAAATGGAATGCAAACCACTGGCCTTGATATGATGTTTTATATATCAGATAATCTTAATTATTCATGGACTATGGACCACAAGTAGCAGGCTCTGAGTACAAATGGCCACCACTTGGTGCTCACCTTCTACCCTCAGATGCACAGGTAGTGGGGATGGAAGCTAGTGTTTATGAACCAGGTAGCATTGCCCCTCCTTCCTACCCACCTCGCAGATCTTTGAAGTGAGGAGAAGGAAGGCTGAGATTGGGGCTTGCAGGGTTAGATTTTGGGGGCCTTGTTTTGATGGCTTGTGATCAAATAGGCTTTCTGAATAACTTATACTGGATGAAACACAGGCAAAAAAACTAGTATGTCAAAAGTACAAAAACAAAGTTTACTGCATATAAATGGACTTAGATTTCAGTCTACTGTGTCAGGCAAGCCATACAATTTGTGTGATCTGCCCCACACAACACAAGGGGAACAAGCTTTAATTTCTCTAAGGTTTTAAATGTTTCTAATAAGTTTTACCGATTTTCCGAACCAATGGGAATGCTCTCTGGTCTCAGAGTCTCAGGGGAAAGGCAACTTTGGTGAGGTGTTCCTTAGGGTTAAGCTGGCCCTTCCAGAAGAGCTTGAATTCTGGGGTAACAAGAGGCTACAATTACAATTTCCCAGCACCAGAATTTCTTATCAAATGATATATGTTTTCACCGTTGTCATTCCAACATCAACACACAGACTGCACTCTGAGTAGGTGACATTGGAACAGCTTTTGAGCAGTACTTCTGATTCGGCTACCTAAGAGGCCAAGAACCCTTGGGATGTAGCATAAAGTAGCCTTGGGAGGGTGGAGGATGAGAAGGTCTGTGTCCAAGTAATGTTAGATTAATTATTAGCCATGTGAACTTGGGCAAGTTACTCAACCTTTCTGGCCTCACTTTTAAAATACTCCTACTCGCTTCACATGTTCCTTGAGAGGATTAAACGAGATAATGTCATGAAACTTCTTAGCATAGTCCCTTGGCCCAGAGTAACATATCAGCACATGTTGATTAATATTGCTATTGTCATCGTCATCATCAAGATTTCCATATATTCAAATCGGCATATGGAAATATAGCATAACACTTAAGGACCTTTCCTAGTCTTTCTCTTCAAAAATACTGCTTTCCAGGAAAGTCAGGGGTCTAGCTTTAGGTTTTGATTCAATGCCTCTCTGACAACATTTAGAGTTGTCGTATTAGTCTATTTACTTATTCTAGAACAAAGAACAAGCGTCAAGGAAGACAGAAACCAGAGTAAGTGGAATGAGTAAGCAGAAATCCATCTCTGTACCTGTTGGTGCCAGAACTGGATCATCCACAGAACCTCTGCAGAGCCAGGGGCCCGAGATTTAGAAACAAAAAGCTTGAGTTTATATTCCTGCCTGCCACCTTCTAACTGGAGCAGCACTGGCCAACTGCCATTCTCTCTATTTTGAATAAAAATATTCTGCAGAAGCGGCCTCAGGCCCCCAGCCCCATGACCCTCCAATCTTCCTCTTCTATCTGGAACTTTAGATGTTTCCACGGTCCCCAGATGTCTTGTCTTGGGGAAAATACTGAGCCTCCATTTCCTCACCTGTAGAATGGGAATCATAACACTGCCTTGTGGGCTTTTACAAGGCTGAAAACGCATGAGATCCTGCAGCAGAGAGGACTCCCTGGATTGAATGTGCCCACCGAGTGTGGTTCTGTCGCCCTCTTCTGCCCAGTGGCAGTACTGCTACAATCCTTCTGAATTTCAATGATGATTCTACAGAATCAACTTGGACAGGCATGGAGTGGATGATCCTGGCTAGCTGATAGAACAGTCTGACAAGAGGATGGTTGCTATTCCATGATCATTAGTTTGAGCATGACTAGAGGCTGTGGTCACAGGTAGAGAGCCATACTCTAAGACTTCCTTCAGGAGGAATTATGTCTAAAAGCCAATCAAATATTTAAATAAATCTACATAAAGCACGTAAGAACTGCATGCCTTCTGGCTCTACAAGGCGAAAAAACAAAAAACAGGACAAAACAAAAAAACTCCTTTCACAGTCAGTCTGCCCTAGGGAAAATTGAGAAGTTTTCAAATTTGTCTTCTTCCTACCTCCAGGAGAAAAGCTCCCAAGCACCTAACACAAAGCCTCTCTCGTAGCAGTATAAACCTGTGATGAATGCTTGTACATAGGCCACTGTAACGCAGGCCTGAGTAACACGTCTCCACTGGTGGGAATTTCTGGTCTGCAGAGAAGACGTTTTGGTTTGCCCCTTTACAATTCCTCATATTATGGTGGCAGGCAGTTCCCACTATGGGCTGTGAGCGTTTGAGCGTCGGCATATTACAAATGCCAGGCAAAAGCAGAGAGTAATCGCTGCAGATTATGAGAAGGGGCACGGGTGCTGGTTGTGGGAAGATTCGTGGTGACTCCCACAGCTTTACTTTGGGAGACAGGTAAATGGAGGTGTCATCATGAGAGGGCGGATTCTGGAAGAACAGGCACAGGGAAAGATGGCCAGTTCCATTTCAGACACAACATTTGAGGAGTGTACCAGGCAACTCTCTTTGGAGTTGAAATTCCACATTTATTTGTATGATTATTTAATAGTTTTCTCCCTCATAGGCTCTTTGAGGATGGGGACTTAAAAATGCAATTTTTATAGCTAATATATTGCCTAGCACTTGGTATAATGTCTAATAAACATTAATTTGATGAATGAATTAATTAATTATATTAGTAGCAGATAAATCCAAATTCAACAATATAGTCAATAAATACCAACTGAGCACCTGGATGTGCCAGACATTACACTAGACTCTTTCATTTCTACCTAGCCACAACCCCGTGAGGTTACAAATTATCATCACTCTGCGAATGCTGAGCTAATAGGGCCTGTGACCAGCTGGTAACTAGGAAAGCTTGGCACAGAACCCCAGCTTCTTCTTCCAAGACTAAGGCTCTTTCCGTATCCCACTACCACTCCTGATATCACTATGACACTATGACAGTAGTTTTGCCCCACAAACTGATTAAACAAACATACTGGATATACACAGGCTGTCATGTGATGGACGTAGACACAAGTTGCATCACTACTGTTTACTAGTTCCTTGTCTCCTTGGGAAAGTTACTTCTTCTCCATGTACCTCAGTTTCCTCATATTCAAAACAAGGATGACAAAGCCATGAACAAAATTAAAAGACAACCCACCGAATAGGAAAATATTTTCGCCAATGATATATCTGATAGTTGATTGTCAACGTATATAAGAAACTCATATAACTCAATAACAACAACAACAAAATAAACATTCTGATCAAAAAATGGGCAGAGGACATGAAAAGACATTTCTCCAAAGAAGACAGATAGATGGCCAACAGACATATGAAAAGATGCTCGACATCACTAATCATCAGGCAAATGCAAATCAAAACCACGAGATACCACCTCACGCCAGTCAGAACGGCTATTATCAAAAAGTCAACAAGTATCATGTGTTGGCGATAAACGATCTGATTAAAAAATAGGCAGAGGACGTGAAAAGACATTTCTCCAAAGAAGACAGATAGATGGCCAACAGACATATGAAAAGATGCTCGACATCACTAATCATCAGGCAAATGCAAATCAAAACCACGAGATACCACCTCACGCCAGTCAGAACGGCTATTATCAAAAAGTCAACAAGTATCATGTGTTGGCGAGGATGTATAGAAAAGGGAAGCCTTGTGCACTGTTGGTGGGGCTGCAAATTAGTGCAGCCGCTATGGAAAACAGTATGGAGATTCTTCAAAAAACTAAAAATAGATCTACCATATGACCCGGCAATGCCACTTCTGGGTCTTTATCTGAAGAAAAAGAAAACACCAATTCGAACAGACATATGCACGCCTATGTTCACTGCAGCATTATTTACAACAGCCAAGATATAGAAGGAACCTAGATATCCATCAACAGATGAATGGATAAAGAAGATGTAGC